AGAGAAATGCTCAGTCAATAGTGATGAATACTGCACAAAATCAACAACTGGTGTTAATTAGTGACTTTCTAAGAGTTATTTTAATAGAATGTTGGGGATAAAAATCTGATTACAAGGGTTATAGATTGGGTGGGTAGTAAGAAGGAAAAAGGATAGGCAATTCTCTAAAGAAGTCAAATGATGAAGGAAAGAGACTTAAGGGATAACGAAAAGGTTTTATTTTTTATTAACTGTAAACCTGAGCATGTCTGCAAGAAAGAAGTTAAAGCTGAGGAAATGAATATTCAAGGCATGGATTCTATGTGTGAAAAAGAAGATACTTTATTCAGCAAGATTGCAAAGAATTACCATAAAGAGTTGGGACTAAGGATTTAAGCAGAAGTTAGTTATGGTAAAGAGGAATGACAACATGATCCCAAACAATAGGATGGATGAAAAGAAAGACATTTTAAGAAGTTGAAAGGTGACAGAGCTTTCAGATGGGTCTAAGTCTTTCATTAAAATAAGATGTAAGGGACTTCCCTGGTGGTGCAGTGGTTAAGAATCTGCCTGCCAATGCAGGGGACATGGGTTCAAGCCCTGGTCTGGGAAGATCCCACACGCCGTGGAGCAACTAAGCCCACGTGCCACAACTACTGAAGCATGAGTGCCATAACTACTGAAGTCCGAGCACCTAGAGACCGTGCTCTGCAACAAGAGAAGCCACCGTAATGAGAAGCCTGCGCACCACAAGGAAGAGTAGCCCCCACTCGCCGCAACTAGAAAAAGCCCGTGCACAGCAACCAAGACCCAACACAGCCAAAAATAAATAAATAAATTAAAAAGTAATAATAAGAGGTAAATTCAGTCATCAGGGAAGAATGAGCGAAATTTTAGCTCTTTCACTGATCTCATCAAAGAGAGTGAACAAGAAAGGAATTAAAAAAAAAAGCCAAGAAATATTTGAGCTGCACCGAGGGCCCTGTTGAAGTGAGTTAGTCTTAGCTGTACCATATCTATATTATAATTATCAGTATATGCGTTTGCAACCCTCATAAAATTATAAATTATATTGATATAAAGGCAGAAAATGTTTATCTTGTTCATCACTGTACCTCCACAAGCTAACGGAACTCAATGAATACTTCGCAAATGACTGAATATGTAGTGGACACAATCCACATATTGTCAAAAATTCCTTAGTGTGTTAGTGTTTGAAAGATACTATGACTGAGAGATAAAAAATATCTTTGACTGATATTTAAGTTGTCTTCCTAAACGTATAAAAGATACTAGACTGTCCCTTTAAGTAGAAGACAGAATCTGTTCAATAAATTAAAAGGCATCAGGGATAAAAATAAGTATTTTAGAAAAAAAGGCACCAATTAGGTGTTTTGGTTATGGTCAGATTAGAGTTTGAGTCTGACCTTTAAGCTACTTTAGTAAGAATTAATTTATCTGGAGTTCTTGGTAAATGAGATATTCTACACAAATAAAGTTTCCAGATATTTGAAATCTCATTCTACCATTTAGAATCATACTTTTATATTTTTTGTCATTTTGGATGAAAATTAAAAAAAAATGCATTTCACGTATTCCTGTCATCCAAAACAGAGCTGATGATTTAACCTTTATTAAATATATGGTAGTCACCACTATGATATCAATTATTATACCACAGAGTTGTGGAGGGCTGAGTTATGAGAGCTACAAGTCTCTACTGTGAGTAGACCTACACACCTACACTTGTTAATTCCTGTTTTTTAATTGGCCCCATTTGCTATTACCAAAGTGCTTGTCCACCTCTTAATCTGTTACTCTACTCTGGAGAAGGGAGGGAAACGTGTTTGTTAAAACTGTCTCAAATATTAAAACAATAACAACAACAAAAAAACCGTCTCAAGAGTGAATTTATCAATGGATATTCTTTTGTACTATTTAGATTTACCACCATGTGCAAATGTTTGTTTTCATTAAAGATGGGGGAGAGAAGTTTTTGTGAGTGTGTTTAGAGCAAAAAAATTTGGAGTGGGGACTTACAGACAGCCTTCTGCCTAATGTGCATGAGGTTTCAGAACACAGGTTTAGTTATTTGCCAACTGAGAGCATCATCTACCCTTTTATTATTATTATTTTGCTTTCTCTCCCATTATCAGCTATGCTTCTAATAACTCAAGGTTGCCAAATAAGCAGTTGTTCTAGTTAGTTATGTCCTTTAGCCATTAAACTAACTAAAAATACAAAAATAAAATAAAAACATTCCAAGAACCAATTTTAACTACTTTTAGTTAAGGTTTTAAGAAAAAAAGTGAGGGACTTCCCTGGTGGTCCAGTGGTTAAGAATCCACTTTCCAATGCAGGGGACGCAGGTTCGATCCCTGGCAGGGGAACTAGGATCCCACATGCCGTGGGGAAACTAAGCCCATGCACCTCAACTACTGAGCATGCGAGCCACAACTAGAGAGCCCGCGTGCTCTGGAGCCTGTGCGCCACAACGAAAAGATCCCACATGCTGCAACCAAGATCCCGCGTGCTGCAACTAAGACCCTATTCAGCCAAAAATAAAATAAATAAATAAATATAAAAAAAAAAAGAAAGTGAGTAAATGTGGGTTAGAAGGGTCAGCATTGGCACAGTATTATAAAATAATAATGTTTGGTATTTTTATAATATACTCAATGAATATTTTAATAAATTTATCTGTAAACACAAATCAATGAAGGTTTCTTTCATACAAGTCTTTTCATTAAATATAATGATGCTATTTTCAATGTGACATTACTTGTTTTGCAGATACCTATCTGCCTGCATGAGCATAGGGGTCAAATTGTGGTTCAGAATAAAGCAGTATTTTAAGATATTTTCATAGTCCTGAAGAGAAATTCTGGCACATTAAAATCCATCTGATTGTTCTTGAGGATTATTTTATTCGTTTTCACCCAAAATTCTTAGTAAATATTTTTTCTAAAATATTGAATTTTGAGTTAAAATAAAACAAATATTGAATAAAATCTGAAGTGCTCAGTAGAACTGAAATGAACAAAATATTTTCCAATAACTTTCACAGAAGGTAAGGAATATAAATTTGAAACAGGGCATAAATGCTGTTGCCAATGTAGAAGTAATTAAATAATTAAAAAACATGAGCAATCTATGATGATCTTTATTTATTTTTTGCCACATGGCATGCAGGATCTAGTTCCCTGACTAGGGATCGAACACGTGCCCCCCTGCAATGGAAGCAGAGTCTTAACCACTGGACCGCCAGGGAAGTCCCCTATGATGACCTTTTAAAAGGAAACCTTGAGAATGCTGAAGTTCTAGTACTAAGCTAGTCTTACAGTTTAAGGAAAACTCAGATAGAATAGCTGATAAGCCTTTTACACTAATTTTCTGAAATAAGGCAGAAATATATTTTCATTATATATCACATACTTTCCCCAATGTATCTGTGAAAAAAAACTGCCAATGAACCAACTCCCAAATCCAGAGGCCATCTTTTTAAAAGCAAGCAATGAAAAAGTCTCTTCTAAAACTTATGTAAGCATGTAGAATTCAAACCTTTCTGTGTTCTTCTATATAAGGTTGTAACCAGAGCAAATTAATTGTGTTCCACAACAAAGGCATAAAAGCTGGATAAGAATCTTGTTTCACTGGTAGAAATTAGAGCTCTGGAAATCACTCTAAGGTTCACTGGGCAGAACCTTCACAGAATTAAAGCTCTAGTATCTCTAGATTGTATCTTATTCTTTTTCAAATGGGAAAAACAGCCTAGGGTTAATCTAAAACAGAACTACATTAAGCTAAAATGACAGAGTTTATTACAGTCCCCCCAATATTAAAGAGAGCTCTTAAGAATATAACTTGAAGAAGGGTCACGAACTGGTTCAACATACTTAACTAGTGATTTTATGAATTATAATGAATGCTGCTACTCTCTAAAAATGAATGTATCAAAGATGAAATAACCTCCTTGGCACGCTTACAGCTATACAACACATTTGTTTCATTGCTTTCAAGCACCAGTGCTGGAGGCTCAGAATAAGTCAATGGGAGGAGGACTTCAGTCACAGCAGCATCTGGTCTACTGAGCAGATAAGATGACATGCTTGGGAGAGTGAAGAGCAAGCAAGAGGTAAGTATTTAACAAATAAATATAGAGTTGATCTAAAGAGTTTTCTTTTTTTCTTTCTTCACAAACTCTGCTACCATAATCTTTTATTTCTATTCAGTGGTTAAAAAAACCAAAATGAAAAATTTACAAATGTTAAAGGGGAGATTTTTAATGTGGGATTTGTAGATTTTATGAATAAATGATTTAAGCTTCCTCTTAGCTTCCCCTCCTTTCCTCGGAAACTGGGAAGGTTAAGAAAAAAATTACTACTTAAAACCAAAAAAGAACTGGTTCAAATTTGGCATAAAGTGATAAACATAAAGTGATAAATTTGGAAAATATTTGTTGCAGAAACATGCTTTCTTTGAAAGATGAAATAAGTAAAAACAATTATCTGGATTCTAGTAATACTTATTTTCTCCCCTTCTTTCAAACTAAAGGAGTTCTAAAATGTTTTATAAAAATGGCATTCATATCAGTATTAAAATAAACCTGCTCAGACAAAACCCAATTACAAATAAGGATTCCTAGCTGGTAAATCATTTATTTATACGTTAGGGGGGCTTGGAGTGTTTCTAGGTAGATGGCCAGTGTGTAAGAAAAGTTCTATTCAGAACTATTTGGTGCTCTGATGTTTCTAATCTTCTGTACGTATTCTAAAGTAAAGGTAAAAAGACATTCAAGGGTCAGGAAACACCTAGGTTTTTATTATACCACTGAAAAAATTAATATATCTCGTTTCATTAATTGGAGCATACCAGGCATACGTTTATGAGGATTGGCTGCATTGTCACAAATGCACAAGAGACCTATTGAGAAGGGAGGGGCTACTAATAAATTCAACTTTTTAAACTGGGTTTTGAAAATAAAGAAATAAAATAATGCAACTGACGTATTTTATATCTAGGGGGAACTCTCTGGCATTCAAATTCAAACTCGACTCCACCACTACAAGAAAAAAAAAGAGGGAGAGAGAGAAACCAAAAATATAGTCTTTTTTTCACAGCTATCAGTTTCTTTCACTAAGCCTTCTGAAACTGGAACCTCTGCAGAATACTAAACACTCGGGCCTTACCTAGAGACATGGACAAATGTATGTATGCTCTCATTTTATAGAACTTGAAATTCTTTTTTTAAGGAAGGAGTCAACTTTGGCCTTGAGTATCTGGCATGGGTACAAAGGCTTAAAAACGCAGATGACCAGCTTAGCTACTGACCATGCTGACCACTGTCTGGAATCGGAACAAATTAAAGAAAAACAACGAATGGCTCTCTCTTATAGAATATTCGAACAACGCACAATTTCTGAGCACATTTTGCAGAGCTCATTTGACCATGTAATCTCTTCTAACTGGTCTGGATTACAGACAGAATCGATACCAGACGAAATGAAACAGATTGTTGAGGAACAGGGAAATAAGCTGCACTGGGCAGCTCTTCTGATACTCACGGTGATAATACCCACAATTGGTGGAAACATCCTCGTTATTCTGGCTGTTGCACTGGAGAAAAAGTTACAGTATGCTACCAATTATTTCCTAATGTCCCTGGCAGTGGCTGATTTGCTGGTTGGATTGTTTGTGATGCCGATTGCCCTCTTGACAATAATGTTTGGTAAGTATTTCACTTTGTTCCTGCCATCAAACCACCGAACTATGGTATACTATTAGAGAAACAGATACTCATTTAATCTTTAAAAATGGACTTGGACTATTTAAAGGTACAGTGAGTAAACAGTCCCTCATTTTTCATCATTTTCTATGGTTGATAATCAGTTTTAAAGAGCAAAAAATAATTTCTTGGAAACAATTCCATTCCCTCCTCAGCCACCTAACAAAATCATTTAAAAAGTCATCCAAGTTAGCAATATTCATATATTCTGCATACATTACCTAAAAATTATTGTGAAGAACAGACCTATACTTTACCCCATTACTAGTACTTTTTTTTTCTTGATAAAGCAATATCTAGGACACTGCTGTGACAGTTAATGTGCTGGGTTAATTATTAATAATAAGGTCTTTGAATCACTAAATTCCAGTATAAATCTCTAAACCCCGATTTAAATTGGAATTGTTCTTAAAAATCTTGTTATATCTCTTTATAGTTTGTGTACTTAAGACTTAAACACAAGTCTTACACATGTGTCTTGTTAACAGAAAACTATGTTTAGTTGATGAAGGAATGGTCTGGCTCAGAGCATCTCAAGAGATGATCCATCTGTTTAATTTTTATGATTTCTGACCATTTGTGTCCTTGATATATGTTAGAGGAATCAGACCTCTAAGTTACTAAAATAAGGGATCAAAACCTGAGTCATTACAATAATTTAAAATATAATTAGAACTGAAATCTTAGTTGTAATATTGATAAAAAGATAACGATATTAAAATGATATAAGTAGTTTCCTATTCATGCATATCATCTCTAGTTAGAGAATTTGGGTAAACACAAATAATTCTGATGATGAATTACGAGGGCTTTTAAGAACCAGCATTAAGAGAATATTTAACTTATTTAATGCTTGACATTAATTGATATTCCATTCATTAACTGCTTAAGAAAAAATGATTATTTGTAGCAGATAGGGCTTCTTGGAATTGCTTATATGGTGAAGATAAAAATATTTCAGGTTATAGAAGTAAAATTAATTAATTAGAATATATATTAGAAGGTGAAGAAAAACTGCCATTCAAACTATTGTATTCAGGTTTAAATGTTACATTTTTATAAGTAAGTACAGAAAGATATCTAAGAGTAAGTACTTGATCCCCCACATTTAATCAGATGGTGACAGGCTAAAACTTCCCATTCTAAATCGACACTTATCCAGGCTTTAAGTTCTATGGTAGGACATGCAGTAATGAATAAGGTTTTCTGCTTTAGAAGACTCTCTAATCATTAATATTGCCTGTCTATACCCCTCCCTTTTACAAATTTGCAACCTTTTGAATAATCTAGTGCTACACATAACCATGGAAAATAATTAAGAAATCTTACTCTAAAGGAGAACCTAAACAATCTTAATTCTGAATAAAGTTTAAAAGAAATAAATGAGGATTATGCAGGAACATTTATGCATATATGGTAAAGACTGTATAGGCATTGATTCAAACTCTTATCTCCATGCACACAATAGTTTAGTGTGTCAAATCACTCTTTAAATTGTGCTTTGCTAGGCGTACAAAAAATATTAAAATGCTCGTCTCATACTACCACAAAATTTAATTGACGTTATGCTGAATAAATGAGATTGAAGTGAATTTTAACTTTAAAATCCATGAGTCCATCAAACATCTATTAGTCTTTGCAAAATACTGTGGTAGATACTTAAATCAACAGCTAAACAGTTAAGGAATCTTAAAAGGCAAAGTTTCATGGCATTAAAGTAAGCTGACAAACAAAACACAAAAGCAGACAACAGTGATAATCCCATGTATTCCACAGGAAAACCGTAGGTATATAGCAGCTGAAAACTAAGTTTATATTTAAATATTTGGGGCCCAAGATAGTCTTAGCTATGAGTCAGCAGAAAATCCAACATATTTTAACACAAAATATGTAGAATGTCTTCCTATGTCTGAAATAATTATTATATTTTTAACCTCATTTCCTTCTTTAAAATGTAAATTTTTAATTACAAAATAAACTCTTTCATAGACTGAAACACTTCTACTATCAGTAATTAAGCTATATAGAAAGGTCAGTAGATTTTTAAAAATAAACTAACCTGGGAACTTTGCCACTATTTAAAATGTTACTGCATTAATTCATTATTGAAAACATTACTCTATTTCTATGAGAAAATGCATGTTGCCCTCTAAAAAGCTTCAAAAGGATGCATTCATAAATTGGGAACTGCACATATTATAAATGGGGACCTGACTTCAAATACTAAGATTTTTTGATAGCCTTTCATGTGTTAACAAATACTAAGACTTTCTAAATTAATGCATTTATAAGAATTTCTATAATCTTAAAATGCAGGAGTAGATTTTGTGTATTTTTCTCTCATTATAGGGACAGTCTTCAGAACTTCTGAAGTCCGTACAAACAAAAGTGTCCCTGGCTCTGTAAACATAAACAAACTAATTACCACTATGAATGACACAAGTTATTTTAGTTATCTCACAGAAATTCAATGAAAGTAACACTGAAACTTTATATTCTAATAAAATGTAGGTTAAAGAAAAAAAGGAGAGCACTGAAAATTTTAAAGTGGCTTTCACACTGAGAAACATTTTATTCAACCAATAATTTGTAAAATATTTGATTATATGTTATTTGAATTTCTTCCAAGATTATTACGACTGGCAGGCACAACATGGTCTTTCAAATTGTGCTACATCAACTTTTCTGTCACTTCTTCCTCTTTGGGAGCATTGGACTTAACCTTTACTTTCCAGTTTTTTACTGTCTTGTCTATAATTCTTAAAAATCATGATCACAAATTAGTAGCTTATAACATAAGGCTTGAAGTTGCCTAGGTTAGAAATACTTGAGTATGACGCAAAGGAAAACAGAACATCATATGCCGATATAAAAAAGACAGATTATTCAGTTTAAGAACGTCTCCGAACTTTGCCTTCTCTAATGAAATAAATGATTAAAAATGTAAAGGGAGTAAATACAGCATTTGGTCATTCATTGGTCATTACTGGCTTATTTACAACAAGTTTTAATCCATGTCTCATGATCTGTAAGTTGAAACAGTATCTGTGGTACAGTTGAAAGAGGGTGTATAAAATGGCTGAAAGATGGGGGTTTGAAGCAAGATACCCTAGGCTTTGAATCCTGGTTCTCCTGTATTGGCTTACACAAGTCACTTAACATATCAGAGTTCAATCACCTTGTCTGTAAAATGGTTACGCTACATCTTCCATTGCCAATAGCTTGTGAAATTGTCAAGTAGGTCCCAGCACGTTTTAGGCACTAATAATTGGCAAGTATCAGTACAACATGCAAAGGGTTTATATACTTAAATATAAGATTTAGTTTGGATGTGAGTTTCACCAGAGATGAGATAAATGTATAGCAGTAAAAGAAAAAAAAATCAGTTATTCATTTATGCAGTGAAATGCTGCTCTACCTAATTCTTAAATGAGGGAGCAAAGCAATTAAAGGCACTTCTTTTTGGAAAGCGGAAATTTTAAAAAACCAAGGAAAAATTTTTATAAGTATTAAATCACTCGAAACGCTTAAAACACTATATTGGACATCTAACCCCAGGATACCTCATATGCTCAAATGTAATGAAAAAACAAGAAAAACAGAAACAAAGCAGAAGCTTTATAATAAAAATTTAAGCACTGGTCTAGGTCTGTCTTTTCCAGAAGATAAATATAGAAACATAAGAATTTGAGATTAAAAAAAAACGTGTACTTGAAACTATGTCCTTTTTGGACATTAGAGCCATTTAGGATTTGTCCTGCTCCAATACATGCATGAACTATTTACCTCAACGAACATAGTCCTCTTGGAATGGCTTTAAAAATAGTCTTTAAGTCCTCAAAAGGGAAATCTTTTATGTGCCAGATTCAGAGATTAATGTCAATTACTTTCCAAAACAAAAAAACAAAAAACAAACAAAAAGGCATGGCAATGTTTGGCAATGCACATAGGTTACTTACGCTTCTTTGCCACATATATAACATAGTTAAAATTCAACTTTAGTGAAAGGCATACTTTCATGACAAATTTAATTAAAAGTCGAACAGTTAAACATGTTCTCATGCCCTTTTTCTGAAGTACAGTTTTAAGTTTAACTGGATGCACACACTCTTGCTACAGCAGGCAGGAAGACAAACATACCAGGCTTTATACTGATGATGTGGCTCATTGTTTCTAAGTGGGAGTGTTTTAATGGTTGGGCTAGTTGGCTAGTTTCTGTCAAACAATAATAGTAATACGAACTAACATTTATTGAGCGCTTTCTCTATGCCAGATATTGTTCTAAACACTTTACATGTATTATTGCATTTAATCCTCAAAGCAACTCTATAAAATCAGTATTATTATTATCATCCCCATTTTACAAGAGAGGACATAGGAATAAATAAGTGGAAGAGATACAACTTGAACCTAGGAGAACTGATTCTAGAATTCACACTCTTAACCTCTGTTACACTGCTTTCTCAAATGAAATGAGAAATTATATCAACCAAAACTATAATATTTGGCAAAGACAACATTTATATCTTAAATAACTCGATCTAACAGGAGGGCCATAGAATTTTCTCTAGGGACAAGGCAGAACCCAATATTTTTTTAAGGTTATATTTCATATTAAATGATACAGAATATGTGGGTCTTAACCAATACTTGCATGAATCCTTGAAATGATTGCCAGACATCTTTTCTGAGGAAGATATTAGACATAGGTCTAAGAAGTTACTGAACCTTCCCTGGGAGACAAATAGAAACGTATGTAACTGAACGGCAGTTCTACCACCCCTTATGTATGATGGTACTTACAGCACACAAGTCTTCATTTTAAACAAGATATTTGTGCTACTAATATTTTTAGATAAATAACGAACTGTCCATGATCCAAGACTCATCTAAGACTTGTTTTGCTCCTATAATTATCAATTTGTAATTATTTTAGGCACCCAAAGAAATGCCATTATTCAAACCTTACTGGAAGTAAATTCCTCTTTGAGTTTAATGAAGTGGATAAGGCAACGAGGTGGGAAATGGGATTTTTGGTTTTGTTTTTTTTTGCGGTACGCGGGCCTCTCACTGCTGCGGCCTCTCCCGTTGCGGAGCACAGGCTCCGGACGCGCAGGCTCAGCGGCCATGCCTCACGGGCCCAGCCGCTCCGCGGCATGTGGGATCTTCCCGGACCGGGGCACGAACCCGTGTCCCCCGCATCGGCAGGCGGACTCTCAACCACTGTGCCACCAGGGAAGCCCGGGATTTGTTTTTCAGAGAAATTTTGTGTGCTTTCTTTTTGTGGGACAACAAATACTATATAATTTAAATGTCTTCCCCTTTCTGTATTAGCTTTTATTAAAAAAAAAGTCTAATTTAGAGCCCCAGCAGTAATTAATTTAGTTTAAGTACCTGATAACTTATTTCCCTTAGATTCTTTCTTTCTTTTTATGTTCCACTTAAAATAATACATTACATTCTTATGGAAATAAGTTAGACATAATACATTATAACAAATAAATGAAATTATAAATCCTTAAAACAAATTAAAACTCCTAATAAAAATAACATATAAGTTTTTGAATAGCTAACCTATCTCACCATACCAAGTTAACCTTTTTCAGTTACTCTGAATAGTAAAAAACTTTTCTGACCTTGAGCCTATCAAATTAATACTATTTAGAATGAAAATATCTGGGCTAGAAAAAGTCCTTTTATAAACTGAGATTGTCTAGAACTGTTTTTAACTTGTATAAATTATTGCATTACATAATTTCTACTTAGGCAATTATTTTAGCTTTGTATAAAAGATTTCTATTTAATGCAGTCATCTGTTACTTTTATATTAGTTTCATAAAAACATTCTATTCACTAGTATTTCATGAAACTTGGAATCATAAAGGTTAATCAAAAAGATCCATCACTCTTAATTCTAAACCTCAGTCTCTTTCTTTCTTAAAGTAATTTCTCTATCACGTTTCAATATCTCTACTGTTATCAATTAAGAAAGCACTCAAGTAATAAAATTTTAATGATCTGCATTAATTTTAATATCCACTATCTGTTCCAAAATTGGAGTTTATAAAATAAATTCATTATGTTGGAAAAGGAGGCTAACAAGGTTTCACAGGTTTAACTAAAACCAGCACTAAAGAGCTTTCCCTCTTAGCTCACAATTAGAAGTATGTGGGTCAGGCAGTTCAATTCCAAAGACATGTACTTTTCATATGAGAATTCTATTGTGGCTTCCTACTCACGGCTACTAGATTTATGACTAGAATTTTCCAGACCTTAATTAAAAAATATATAATCCATAATTAGAATAGCTAAATAGGCAAGTTTAAATTTATTAGCAACCCACTTTGAAAGATGATGGAGAGCATGCATTTAAAAAAAGGAAGCCTAAGATATAAGACATTAATTATCTGCCTTTTAAAATCCTTAACTATGGTTAACATCTCTGGTTGTAGCTCTAGGCTTGAGTATTTTTCTACTTCCTACTCAGTTCTAAATCTGAACTTCAGGATAGTTTAAGAAGAAGCCTCACTTCAAGTAACTTCCACTGCAAAACTATCTGTCATGTATGATTCTTTCCACTCTAGACCATAAGTTTGCTTAAGCTCAGGTCAAAGAGTACATTGCTGCCTTTGTTCAAGGTCCTTTACCACTAGTTAACAGGAAAACTGAACACTACGGCTAAGAGGGAGAAAGTCTGATTGATTAGATTCATTCTAAACACAAGTTTCTCTGCCATACTTTATTTCTTTGTTTATTTTGAGCGTCTTCCATAAGTTCGTTTCTGTGAGGAATTCTGAGTGCCTACCCTACGCCAGCAAACTCAAAACACAACCTTTCCAAAAAAGCAGTGCTTCTCAAACACTAATCTGCATACAGATCACCTGAGTATTTCCTTCAACTGCAGCCTGCAGTTCTAACTAGTTCCTAGGTGATGCTGATCCTTGCTGATCTGAAGAGCACACCTTGAGTAGCAAGGCCCTAAAGAACACTTTCAATTAACATTTAAATTTTGATTAAATAAATGCTCCCTCTCATATTCAAAGACTTAATTGTACCACAATTTACTCATCCACAAAATCAATGATATAATCTCTAAGGTCTCTTCCAGCTCAATGACTATAATTTATCATCTCTGTCCCTTATCCCCACCCCCAATTCAGTGAAGTAGGAAAAGTCTGAATTCAGTAATTTACTTAAAAGTATGAATTAGTCCTTCCACCTAATGCTTTAAATCCTTTTGAAAGAATCTGCTGAACGTGGAACCAAGTACCAAGGAATCATTTATCCTTTTTTCAATAAAAAATTCATACTGACTTTGTTTTAAAAAGAAATATTTTAATATTTCTATTAAGCATGCCACATACCAACTCTGGAAACAGAAGGCACCAAAAGGTGCGTTTGTCAGCCTTGCTACCTACCTTTTTTTTTTGCTACCTACCTTTTTTTGTGAAGTATCCAAATATTTTTCACTGAGATCCCACTTGAGTCTTGAAAAAGATATATTCAAGTCTATCTAAAACCTCTTCCCCTAAATTATGGCCCTTTTTTGATCTAGGATACTAACCTTTCTTCACACCCAGGCTTCCTGAATTTAAACAGTTTACAATTAAAGGGTCTCTTGGTGCTCTGAAATCCTGAGATAGTTATCTTGGTTCCCTCTTCAATTATCTCAATCATTTTATACCTGTCAAAGTCAGATATATTCGCAAAAACCAGGAAAAGAAAAGTAGTTTACATGTCAGTGGACATACAATTAAACCATAAAAAGGGTTTATATAATCTCATATGTATGACATTTGTTCTATACAGGAGGAATTTGCTTTTATAGCAAGTTCTAAAATCTGTGTGTGTTTGTAAAATGGATTCTAACTGAAATACTCTAGGACAAACGTTATAATAAATTTTAGTTGTTTTAAGACTGCAAAATTTAGTAGTGAGTATATGTATAATGCATAATGTATCACATTCATATATGTATAAATACTCGTCTAAGTAAATTTATTGGAAAACTATCATACAACAAACCTGAAATTTTTTAAAAAGTTAATATTTCTGAAGTGTTTCAGACTGTATGAGGTATAGAATAAATGCTTTTTAAATAAGAATTTGTTAAATAAAGTATTATGCTTAATAATGAGATTTTCTTTTTAAACCCAAGTCTGTACTGCTTATTACATCTCCTTGCTTGGAGTGAAGGATGGACTATATTGGAAACAACAAAAGGGTAACAACCCATTTTTCTTTGGAATAATCTGAAGCCATTCCTTTTGCAAACTTTATTTAAGAACTATTTCTGTCAAAAGGAAAACTCAAGTCATCCCACTTAGTTATTTCACCAAATTAGAGTTTGCTATAAACAAGGATCATAGCTAGTTAATGCTAGACGTGAGCCAAAATCCCAGGCCTCACTGAGACTGCCATGCTAATATTCTTTTTGCCACATTATATTGCTTCCTCTATTTGGTAAATGTTTTTTTTTTAAAAAAATACAATAGCAGCTTAAAAATAAATTTTATCTGAATAGTAAGGTTAAGTTCCAGCTGTAACACTGTATACATTTTTAAAAGATCACAAAAGAGCAAAGGTCAAAATAATGCTAAAAATGCTAAACTGATTTAGGAAGAGCTGTAATTATTATACAAAACAGAAAATGTATTTAAAGGGTACCATCTACAGAAATGTATTTAATATTACTGACTCCATTATCTGAAGTCAAACATTACCTTGGAGCTTAAGTCATAAAATTTCAGATGAATACAGAAAAAGGTTAAAAAATATGTATCACTTAAAAAAGAAACTGCAGATTAAAGGTTGCCATTCTGAGAATATGTTTTTGTTTTGTTTTTCTTTCTTTCAGAGGCTATGTGGCCCCTCCCACTGGTTCTATGCCCTGCCTGGTTATTTCTTGACGTTCTTTTTTCTACCGCATCCATCATGCATCTCTGCGCCATTTCAGTGGATCGTTACATAGCCATCAAAAAGCCAATCCAGGCCAATCAATATAACTCACGAGCTACAGCATTCATCAAGATTACAGTGGTGTGGTTAATTTCAATAGGTATGTGGGGAATTACAGGGTGTGGGGTGGTGTATATAGGCTTTGGTTCCATTTGGCTAGGAGATTACCAGGCCTGGTAGACACTGTTACACCAATACAAGCTCCTCACAACATTACATTCATCGTACAGCCTCTAAAGCACACTATCAGCAAAAAGTGTGAAAAAGAAGAAAAGTTCAAGGCTTGATTTTGACATGCAGGAAGACTAAATCTGAAAACAGTTTTCATATTTGTCAACCGATCATTAAGGTCTGGGTAGCATGCAGAATCTTGAAATTTTATTAAAGTAACAACACTAAAAAAAAATGAAATGCATCTTAAATCACACCTAAGAAGATAAATAGGAAAAGAGGGAAAAAAAACAAAAACAAAAAGAACCCAAACTTTTTGTTTGCAGGTATCAGAGTTCATATATTCACCTTGGAAACCAATATGTACGCAAACTAAAGGCATTACTGTCTAAGTGTTTCGAACATGTTTAATTACAAGTTTTAAGAGATATACAAACGATGTTCAGAAATAATTTTTGGGAGAAATCGTATTTCTTCTAAACTATTTTATGCCCCTGTGCCCATGTTTAATACTCAAAGATAGCTGCTATATTAGAGTATCTTAGCATGGAGTACAGCATAAATGATAACTCAAATCTTTTAAGTAAGTTAGTATCAGAAAAACAAATAGATTCACAACTGTTACTATGATCATTAACAGTTTGCCAGCAGATTCACTTTCTCCTAGTAAGGAAAAATTCAAAGAAGGAAAAAAAATCAAGAGAGACCTAAAAATGCTAAAAGGAAAGCAAGAAAAAGATGTGACTTCTCTCCCTAATCAGAAAAAAGAACGCTGGGGGTAAAAAACAAGAAAGCAAGACATTGAAAATGACCTTTATGTTCCTGGAATAAAGATACCAAGGCCAACCCTCTTTTGAAAAATTTGGAGGTAAAACTAAGGACTGTTACTAGTCTGGCTTGGGAAGAAATTAGGGTCAAGGAAAACTCTATTCAGAATGGAGGTATCTGCAAGTAAAGAGAAAAGGCTAGCTTTGGGGACAGAGGCTGATTGATAGAAGAGGCCCCTAAAAAAGAAGCTACGGAAAAGGCATGGATGGGTGACAACTGCCAAAATTTAGAATGGAGAGAAGGAAAACTAAAGTAGTTCATGTCAAACAACCCATACCTTTTTGGTAAGCTCAGTGTGATAAGGGAGAAGGAAAGGGAAACAGTGTGTGTTGGGGTAGGCTGGAGGCGGGGGTGGGACTGCCTAGAGAAAGGCGGAGCGGGAGGGGGGGGGGGGGGGGGGTGGCGGAGAGAATAGGGCAAAGGTAGAGGGAAAACAGGAGAAATGGCTCCTTAAGAGAATTAAAACATTGAAACTGAAATATAATCAAGCCAATAAACAGCCTGTTGGTACCTCAATCAAGGCTGGATGACATGAATTTATAAATTGATCAAATTTATAGAGTACCTATGATATGTTAGGTACTAAGAATACAAAGATAAATAAGAAAAAGAATCTTTGCACTCAGGAAGATGGACTAATACTAAGTGATATGTATACAGGAAGAAAAGAATAAAAAGATGACCCCAAATTTACAGCTTAGAAAGATCTTACAAATCTACTTTTTCCTTTTACAGATGAGAAAAGAAACCTAGAGGTTTTAAACAGTTGGCTTAAAGACTTAACAGCTTTTTAGCACAAAGGCCAAGATCAATGCCATTTTCATTTCATCACACTTTGTGTTGTAGAACCAATGACAATTTAGTGACTTTGTAAAAGAAAAGGCACATAATGAGGTTAGTTCAGTTTTTAAATTCTGCAAAGTGCTAAAAAAAAAAAGAGCTCACTTTCTTCTTCTGAATTTACAGTTATTCTAGGTAACATCTGACAACAGTAAGGCGAAAGGAGAATAAGAGGGTAAGGTATAAAAAATACTAGTGAAAACTTAAATGTCATTGACCAACAGGCTGGTTGGGAAGGTAACCTGAGCCTTGATGGGAGTTAATGGAATGTAAAAAAAGAGAAGGAAGGATGCACTAGATGTCAAGATAACTGTAAAGAGAAGTAATGAAGAGTATCAGGACAAGAAAGCGAAATATCAGAGTTCATGATTTTCGATATGGGCCAGTTTTTTTTTTTTAATTTATTTATTTTTGGCTGTGTTGGGTCTTTGTTGCTGCGCATGGGCTTTCTCTAGTTGCGGTGTTGGGGGGGATGCTCTTCGTTGTGGTGTGCAGACTTCTCATGTAGTGGCTTTTCTTGTTGCGGAGCATCTAGGCACACAAGCTTCAGTAGTTGTGGCATGCAGGCTCAGTAGTTGTGGTGCACGGGCTCTAGAGCACAGGCTCAGTAGTTGTGGTGCACGGGCCTAGCTGCTTCACGGTATGTGGGACCTTCCTGGACCAGGGCTTGAACCCGTGTCCCCCACACTGGCAGGCAGATTCTTAACCACTGTGCCACTAGGGAAGTCCCTATGGGGTAGTTTTAAGTGGACTTATGGATGGATGGCTTCAGGAGTGCATTGGAGTTGAAGAGTTCAAGAAATATAAAATTAGGTGTTAGAAGAGTAATAAATGGGATGAAGTCATGGAAGATGATAGCAAGGTTAACAGTGGATAGAAAACTATAGCAAGGGGCCGAAACCATTAAGGAAGACAGACATATATCCTGGAGGTTGGTAGATGATCTGGATGGAGAATAGAGTGGTATAAGTAGCTTAAATAGACTTTAAAAGGGAAGTGCTTTGGGGTGGGGAAAGAACAGTGTAATGATTACCTGGAAGTAACAGGGTAGAGGTGGGGCCAGCCAAGTTTTTCTATAAAGGGCAAGAGAGTAAATATTTTGGTCTTACAGATGCTATATGGTTCTATCAGAACTACTCAACTCTGCAGCAGAACAAAAGCAGCCATATATAATACATTAACAAATGGGTATGGCTGTGTTCCAATAAAGTTTTATTTACAAAAACAGAAGGCAGGCCAGATTTGGCCGTTGGGCTATAGTTTGCTGACCCCTAGTGTAGAAAAGAAAGTATACAGAATCCTCTTTCTGGTGTTATACCTGAGGAAAAGTAGAAAAAGCAGTGGCCTCCATTAGAAAGGGTTTGAGGAATATATTCTTGTCGAGGTCTCTTTGCTACCATAAAAAGGCTATGCAGGTGACAGGAGTACTTTTAGATTCATAAAAGTGAATTCTTTCATGATACTTCCTAGAGGTGTCTAAAGATCAATTAATTCAGACTTATTTTAAAGTATTTGCTGTTTCAAAGGGAAAGGATTAGGGTTAACCCTTGTGCTATCTTGCTAATAAGCTACTTCACTAATAAACAAGGTCATATTTAAATACCAACTTCATGGTATTTAAAGTATAATAAAATTAGCATGAAGTACATTTCTTTCATTTTTATTAGAAGAACCTTCAATCTTGAAAATAAATTTCATGGCTTCCCTGGTGGCACAGTGGTTAAGAATCTGCCTGTCAATACAGGTGACACAGGTTTGAGCCCTGGTCGGGGAAGATCCCACATGACGTGGAGCAACTAAGCCCGTGCGCCACAACTACTGAGCCTGCACTCTAGAACCCGCAAGCCACAACTACTGGGCCCAAGTGTTACAACTACTGAAGCTCGCATGCTTAGAGCCCATGCTCTGCAACAAGAGAAGCCACTGCAGTGAGAAGCCCGTGCACCACAATGAAGAGTAGCCCCTGCTCACTGCAACTAGAGAAAGCCCGCATGCAGCAACAACGAACCAACAAAGCCAAAAATAAATAAATATTTTTAAAAAAGCAAGTAAATTTCATGATCCACTCGCTCTCAAATTTTAAGTAGCATTTGAAAAAAAAACAATAAACCCTGAGTTTTCCCTAAGAAGTCAGAAAGAAAAGGTTAAAAGACATTCACAAATATCAAAAGATAAAACTGTCTGTTAAACGAAACTGGGTAACCTCACAGATTATAAAATAGCTATCTACTCAGAATTAAGATATTGCATGAATGTATTCTTAAGTCTCTTTAGCTCAACTACACTGGATATTAAGATAAAAGCAGCTTCTCTTCTGAATTCTTTTCCTTAACTTGGGATAGATCAACAAACAAAAATAGATAATGAGAAATGGAGAATAAATGAAGACATCCTCTACTATTTCATGCATACACTATGGTTTTAGGGAAGCTTTAATTATAAAACTGAAACCACTAACCAATCTCTTTAAAAACAGCAGGTTTGCTTACTTAGGTTCTATTTGTCAAATCTTCCACTGATTTATTGCTTGACAGATTCTGCATTGTGGGTACCAGGAATTACAATACACTAATAGGGTAAAGTCAGTAAGATAAACTTTAAAAGGACCTAATCTAAGAGTCAAAGGTCATAAAATAACTCAATTTATCTTGTTTCTTCTTCCTTAGGCATTGCCATTCCAATCCCTATTAAAGGTATAGACACTGATGTGGGTAACCCAAACAACATCACTTGTGGGCTGACAAAGGATCGTTTTGGCAATTTCATGCTCTTTGGCTCATTGGCTTCCTTCTTTACACCTCTGGCGATCATGATTGTCACCTACTTTCTCACTATCCATGCTTTACAGAAGAAAGCTTACTTGGTCAAAAACAAGCCACCTCAACGCCTAATGTGGCTGACTGTGTCCACAGTTTTCCAAAGGGATGAAACACCTTGCTCATCACCAGAAAAAGTGGCAATGCTGGATGGTTCTCACAAGGACAAAACCCTGCCCAATGCAAGTGATGACATACTTATGCGAAGAACGTCCACAGTAGGAAAAAAGTCAGTGCATACCATTTCCAATGAACAGAGAGCCTCAAAGGTTCTAGGGATTGTGTTTTTCCTCTTTTTGCTTATGTGGTGCCCCTTTTTTATTACAAATATAACTTTAGCTTTATGTGATTCCTGCAACCAGACTACTCTCAAAATGCTCCTGGAGATATTTGTGTGGATAGGCTATGTTTCCTCAGGGGTGAATCCTCTGGTCTACACCCTCTTCAACAAGACATTTCGGGATGCATTTGGCCGGTACATCACCTGCAATTACTGGGCCACAAAATCAGTAAAAACTCTCAGAAAATGCTCCGGTAATGTGTACTTCCAGAATCCAAGGGCAGAGAACTCTAAATTTTTTATGAAACATAGAATGCGAAATGGCATTAATCCTGCCATGTACCAGAGTCCAATGAGGCTCCAAAGTTCAACCATTCAGTTTTCATCAATCATTTTACTAGATACACTTCTCACCGAAAATGAAGGTGACAAAACTGAAGAGCACATCAGTTATGTATAGAGTAATGGCACAGTTTTTATAAACTAATATAATGACGAGTAAGATAAAGAAGATATAAATATACCAAGAATTACATAAAGAACTTTATATCATGTATCAAAAATCATCTCTTGGGGCTTCCCTAGTGGCGCAGTGGTTGAGAGTCCGCCTGCCGATGCAGGGGACACGGGTTCGTG